CCCGGCCCGGCCCGGCCCGGCCCGCGGCGCCTCCCTCCGCGGGCGTGAATCAGCCCGCACCCCGCCCAGGGCGTGAAGCGGCTGCTGCGCGCAAACTGCGCGCGAGCTGCGCGCCCGGCGGGCTGCGGCGAGCGCGCCGCGGGCTGGAGCTGTCAAAGGGACGTTCAAATATTAGGGAAATATTTCCAACCCCTGGCCCCCTCTCAGTGCGCGCAGCGCGTCCCATGGTGGCTCGGGGACGGGAGCGGTGGGATCGGGGACCGCGGGGCGGGACTGGGCCGCCCGCGCGACTTGGCGGCAGGTCGGCTTTCCAAGCAGCCTGTGGCTCGAAGCTCGCAGAACTGAACCGCAAGGAGGAAGGAGGGCGGCTAGGGAGCCCAGGGCGTTGCAGTTCCACACGCAGGGTTCACACTGGCTTCATCTATTTCACACCCCCGAGTGGGTGCTCCAGAACTTCGGCTTCCCCCGGAGCCGCGGGGCTTTGTGCGAACTCATGGATATTTCAAAAACATGACACAAGTTTGAGCAGCCTCAACTCACTTTTGAGGGGAAAAAAAAAGAAAAAGGGACAAAATGGGAAGACGGATTTTGGATTGTTTGGATTGAGATTAATTGGCAGAGCTGTTTACAGAAAAAAAAAAAATCAGCGTTTGCCTGCATCATGGTTAATCTGTCACTGCAACGTTAACAGATACTCAACAGCAACCTCCCCGCTGAATCATAAACACAGACAGGTCACACTTTCTATAAATGCCACCCAACCCCCTCCCTACCCCCAAATTCCCCTGGCAAACAAAGTCAGGATTTCCCAGACTCTGCATCCATCAGCAGGGAATCTGTGACATTCTGCAACACAACAGAATCATCACAGCTCACCTCACTACCCTCCTAAATTATTTTTAAATAGCCCTAACTGCGAGTGGTTCGTGAAAGGGAACACTTTGTACATTGACCTCCAAGTGCAGATTTCATCCAGATCCATGCAAGAAATGTAAGAAACTCTGTTCATGGCATGTTTGTAAGTGCGCAGTGTTAAATATTTCTGATGAGGCAGAGATGAGTTTAACATATGCATAGTTATCTGATGACCTTATACAATGATTTCATTGAGGATAAAACACATAGTGGAGTGAGGTAAAAAGAACATGCCCAACACTGGCTTGTTGTCTGGCCAGCCTGCAGTGCTTTTTGAAAATCAGATATTGGGAAATTCATGTTTTGCTTCACGAGTAAGCATCACCCCTTGAGATACTGATGACTGTAAAGAGCGTGGGTATTTTCTAAGAAGCACTGAAGTAATGAAAACATGCTGAAGGATGACAATTTGAGTTAAACTAACAAAATGCTCGGTTTGCTATCTACGTATTAAAGGTATCCATTTAAATGTCCTTATTCTAAGGCATCAGCCTTACATTCTGCATTCTACACAGTGACAAGGTGCTCATCACAAAAGCACCTTCCTGGCTGCTGAGCAGCCTCAGAAACCTTCTCCAAGCACCACTGAAGCTCTAAATCCGCTCCACACATTTATTGTTATAAAATGTTGTGGAAAACGTTGTCTGGGTTAACAGCTTTTAAGTATAACACCCTGTCACTGCTGAGCTAAAAATAAAAAAATAAGCAGCAGCCACCCAGATCTGACAGCCTCACAAAGGCGTTTCTGACCTCTGGGTTACCTCTGGGCAGCACCACGTAATTATTCCCAGCCGGGATTGTCCCAAACCCCCTTGTTTTTTGGCATAGGCACCGGGACAAGCTTTAGTCAGGGTTACACGAGCGGAAGAGGGCTAGCTCCATGCCACGGTCATTCAGCAAGGGTCAGGCGGGCTGCTGTGGCCTCTCTGCATCTGCAGAATGATCGAGACGAGATTGCAGCAGTGGAGTCCCCAAACAGATTAACTCCTGTAAATTAGAGAGTTTTGTGGAGGTGTGTGGTTGGTTTTTCTTTAATTTCAAAGATTCTTTTTGTAACTCATTAAGCCTTAATGAGAGGAAAAGAAATACAGTTTCTGAGAGAAACTCTGGTTACTTTGAAAATTTGCATACTACATCAAATGTGCTTTTTTTTAAAAAAAATAAAAAAAAAAAGGAAGTGACAGCAAATGTTCTCTTTCCAGTTCACAGATTAATAAAAACAGTCCCACTATCTCCAGCTATCAGTACAGGACCTAGGAAAAACAAATCAAAAGCTAACAAAAAGAACTAAACTTAGCCATAATCATTTAGCATTGTACATTTTTTTCTTTATTAGGAGGATGTTCTAGTGATCATGTGTATGAAAGAGTGGATCTTAGCACTGCTCCTAATACCACACTAGAGAAGGCTGTATCTCTCATTCACACCTTTAGAAACTAATTCTCTTCAAAGAGAAAAATTGCTATATGACAACAGGGATAGCATACATTTTATTTCAGGATCTGTCATGATTTCTATAAATGTTCTCATAGCATTCCAGAGAATGAAAAGCAATACTATTATAGATCAAGTGTACTTAAAATAGCCTTTTCAGTGCTCTAAGCCATTTTAACACAGTTTAGAAGGTACGAGCCAGACTGTTGTCTGGTCAGCTGAGGTTTTTTGAGGGATGCCAAGAAGCTGGAAAGCAGTTGACCTACCAAGCACATAGCTAAGGGCTTTGACTACGTTGCTGCTTCAAAACAGGAGTATCTTAGAGATAAGAAAAAGTCTCAGGCAAACTGTGAAGTGCTCCAGATATGCTCCATGTGTGCACTGTTACTCTGGGTGTAGGAAGCTGCAAGAAGCTCTAGGAACATCCAGGCTAGTAAAAATGAAGATGAGCTGAAGCTCTACTGCAAGGCACAGAACTGGACCTCTTGCCTGCATTTCCTGACCATTTTCTTGCTCTTCTGCTTGGTGTAACCCTGAAGTCTGAAGCAACAGAATCACTGGACCAAGAGGTTTTGTCTCTCTCACTACCACAGCATTTCAAAATGAGCTCTCTGTGGTTCAAAATATGATTTTTCGTCAGTAAATCTGTCTGTTAGTACGTAGAGCCTTAACTGATGGCCTAGATATTCAGGTGACTTTTGACATTTTAGTCAATGTTGCCACCTTGTATTAAACATAGCCATATTAAAACTGATTCAGCAAGGAAAGAAATAGCATCCCTTTTCTTAGTCACTCACATCACAACAGGAAAAGAAATAATTTTCCATTTATGTTTTAGAGAGAAAATCGTCAGTGTTGTGACTCAAAAGGCTTTCTTTGTGGAGTGTTCAGATGTCACACTGCAGTTAAAATGTGAATATGAAAAGATTATTTGGTTTAGCAACCTAGAAAGCTGATCACAATCACAAGCAAAACAAAACCCTCTTGATCAGATTTTGGAATGTGCATCTGGGAAAGGGACGCAGCTACTGCAGATTTCTCAGAAGCTTCTTTTGATAGTTCCAGTTTGAACACTTGGTCACTTCCATGCCAGGAATCTCTCAAAATTTCCATTCTAGAGAAGAAAAATCAAGCATACCATTTAGTACCCTTGCACACACAGACCGTGTCTTAATAAGCAGGACTGGTCGTCTTTTGAACCTGGAGATCTGCAGATCACTCCCAACCTACTGCTTTATGCTCTGCCAGCAGCACTAGCCTTAGGATATGGAAACTGCCTTATCTCCTTGAGCAGAAAAATGTAGTAACCTCCAGGAAACAATAGGCACAAAATGATAAAGTCTGTTTGGGGACAACTTGTCAAACTACTCTATTTACATTTATATTATAAAAAAGGACCATATAAACGAATCCACAGGCAAAACATGTATTAAATGAGGACCTTAAGGAACTATGCTACTATTTTCATAGGTGGAAAAGGCTATTTTTCTACCCATACTTCATATATTTCTACTGGTCTCAGAGAAATCCACATATGCTATATACCAATCTCCTTATGCCCTTGGACTGAGTATTTCAAGGGGAAAAGTAAGAGCAACATATGTTTCCATTCTTGCGAAGCCAGGTAACAAGAAGGCTGAAGATGTCCAGTAAGAAGATACTGTGCTCTTAAAACAGGTTTGTTTTAAGAAGTTTAGTGTAAGGATGACGCTTTTGACTCCTGCAACTGTAGGAGAACTATGTCACCTGGTCCTTACTATGTAGCTCAGTTCCAACCCTTTTGAGGGTTGGGGTTCTTTCTTGCGGGGGCTCCCTCTACTATTTTCTCAGTGTTAAAGATTTGGTCCACTCCCTGGAAAAAGTTTGGAACTAAGTCATTAACTGTTATGACTTATTCTAATATTTGGCCTAGAAGTATTGCTATATCAATCCAAAGAAATGCCAGAGTTGTACAGGAGACTATTAAAAAGCATCTTCCTTTAAAGCCAGGCAGGAAAACCAGCATTTAACACATACAGCATATTTAAGTAATTTACTACTTTAATGACAGAGTACATCAAAATGTTTGTGACCATCCATATCAACTCTTCACACTAACCAAAATTCCCACAGGCTAAAAGAACTTGTTTCCACACATCCCTATCTAGGGCTCTCTTCCCCTCTGACTGCTTTTGGTTAAGGATTAGTAGTTTCCTTACTCACTGGCTGTAAGAAGCTGCCAGAAGGAGTGGTGTCACTCAGAGGCAAAAGAAGTCAATATTTCAACGAACCTTGCTCAAAATGAAAAAATAAAGGAAAGCTTCCCTGATGCACTTTGAATGCACCTTTATTATTTTCATGCACAAGTCAGATTTTGAGGAAAAAAAATGTGCCTCAGAGATCAGTTCCTTTTACAGCTGTG